AATAACAATTCACTGTGAATCACAATTTGTATGAGTATGAATGATTTGGGGTTTAACTGTGTTTAACTTCTCACCATGTTCAAAACTTGACCACATCAGACTGAGCATCACTTTCTTATCCTCTCACAGCTACTCGTCTCCTCTCGCCGAGACCATGACACCCTGCAGACCGAGCTGAACCGGCTGCTGGCGGAGAACGAAGCCTCCAAGGAGGAGGTGAAGGAGGTGCTGCAGGCCCTGGAGGAGCTGGCCGTCAACTACGACCAGAAGAGTCAGGAAGTCGAGGACAAAGCACAGGAGTTCGAGGCTCTCAGCGAGGAGCTGAACGAGAAATCGGTAAGCGGCTTAAAGCTTTAGTTGTTCTGAGTCTTCTGGAGGTGACGATGCTGAGGGTCACTCTGTGTGTTATGGTCCACCACCACCAGAGCTCCTTGGCCTCCATCGACTCTGAGCTGCAGAAGCTGAAGGAGATGACCAACCACCAGAAGAAGAGGGTCACCGAGATGATGTCGTCGCTACTCAAAGACCTGGCTGAGATCGGCATCGCTGTGGGAAGCAACGACATTAAGGTCACCAGTTTTGTCTCTGACGTGGTGTTTGAAAGCTCACATCTGGCAAAGAGATGACGACATCACCGACGTTTTAGCTGCTGACGCATCCGCTGCCTGCGTTACATGTGTGCTCTGAACCGCACGTTTCCGGTTTACTGTGTTTGCATCACACACCTCTCATGCAGGATTTCATGCCCTCATGTCTGTTCATTTGCAGCTCATTTAGCATCACCGGTTATCCAGGCGATGATGTTCAAATTGGATTTACACAGAGCTGCAGCAAACAGTTATTACTTTGTTATTTCTATCATTCATTTAATTTAGCGCATTTATTTGTTTTATAAAATGTGCAAATATAGCGAAACATGCCCTGTACAAAATTCTGACCAAGGTATCTGCTTCAAATTAAGATTTTTGGCCAGTCAAAAGTAAAAAAAAATATTCAGTTTATTATCACAGAACACAACGAAATGCACTTAAGTGACCAAAGCTGGGACAGTTGTTGCATTTTTGTATAAACTGACAAAAAATAGTCATTAATCAGCCCTTAAAATGAACTAATCCAATACTATTTAACCTAAAGCCAGCAAATGTTCACCATATTTACATAATAAATGTCAGACCATAATTTAAATATATGTTTTCTGTTGGTTGACTCATCGGCTTTAAGCACTTCTGTGATCGTGCAGGTCCGACGTATCAGTGCCTCCTTTTATCTCACAGTAACCCCATCTGCTGCAGATTAGATCAGTTTAATGTTGTGCAGGTTTTCAGTGTACTTCCTGCAGGTCTTTCAAGAGATTTTGAACCATGTGCGGTCTATTTTAAACTTCATGCCTCTGTGCTGTAGAAGTGATGGTTGAAGCAGCTCTTGTGAGAACGTACAGTTCTGCTGTTTGGTGAACGGCTGCTGCCTCACAATGCTGAAGTTCTGAACCCTGATTGGAATCCTTTAATGTCTCTACGATTTATTATTGATAGATTTATGCGCTGCACATGTCAGGAATCACTTGTTAACTAAACTGTGTTGCTATACAGTTAAATGATGAAGCACTCGGTCCACTAACAGGAAACTAATGAACAGCAGAACAGCAGGACTCGTCCGGCTTCACAAAGGTGAAGATTCTCTCCGTGTAGACTGTTGTTCAAACAGATGAGATAATTAGTAGAGCTCCAGACAAAGGTCACGGGCATATTTGTCTGCTTTAGTTCATTAACGAATCATTTAAAAAAGTAAAACATAAATTAAATGGCAAAAAAATAGACATCAGGTCGCTGTGAAAAGGGTTTTTGGTGGGAACTATTTTCAGTGAGGGATGAATACTGAGTTGCTCCTCTAGTGAGTATTTGAGGCAGCAGGATGGTGTATGAGGGATTTTAATGACAATAAATGAAGGCTTGTGTTCACAGTAGTGAAGGAACATATCAACTTATAGATACACAAAATACTTGTTAGTGGTGAAGTGCTTAATGGAAAACACATGTATGAATTTCTACGTTGTTGGAGCTGAGACCAGACCAGCTGAGGGTTTAAACTCTGGACTTTTGCACAACCAGAGAAAATAACTGTCTGGTCGCAGAGCTGAGTAGACAGGGCTTCCTACACATGTGAAAAACTGGGGTGTTTTTTGTCTATTTAAACTTAAAACACTTGGAAAATTGTCCAATAAATAAATAAATAAATAATAATAATCATACATCATACTGCTGGATTCAAACACTTTGAGTTTGATCAAATAGAAAATAGTAATTCCTCCATGTACGTGTAGATGAATCTGCGCAATATCAGTATTTTTAATATCAGCATTTTCTATTTGTAGAATCTATTTACTATTTACTACTATGGTTAATATATATAGAATAATCCAGAGCAAT